TGGAATAATTCGCAAAATTGGAAAACCTGTGTTGAGTCGAATGCCTTTGACGTACTGTCGATACATCGACGACTGTTGTTTGATCACGACAACACAGTCCGAGATGCACAAATGTTTTAAAATCCTCAACCAACAGCCCGAGTACACCAGGCTCACACCCGAAAAATCACGAAAAGGATGGTTGCGTTATTTGAACACTCTTATCAAGTTGACCAAGCATTGTAACAATGGAGTGGTACTGCAAGGATAGCTGCAAAAACATCCTCATCAAAGCTAATTCTGCACACGCTAGGAGCGCTAAACATGCTGGTCAGAAATATGTTCAGAACAGCCACCATGGTATGCAGGAGAGGATGAAGGCCGGCAAGCACGACATTTAGCCTCAGAAATCGCACGCAGCAACCGTCATCCCGCATTTTCGCAAATTAGACGTCCTATGCAGGATAGCCGCACTCAAAACGACAACAAAGTGCCACTGTGTCTCCCATTCACCTCCGATAAAGTCACAGCAGCCTTTCAACTATGCATTGCTCACGCCCAGCTGCTCAATGAAGTCATTTTGGTCAATATACTAAACGATAACATTGAAAAGTAGTTCGCACAAAATCGAATTCACAATGGGAAATGCGCAAGCGGACAAGGCAGTGTGTCCGTATAGCAAAGAAGGGGAGTGTACAAAAGTGGGTGTCAACTCCTATGAATGGACAGCATTATATTAGGTCGTTTCATAAGTTCGTAGACTTTTCATTCTCGTTCTCATTTCTTTGAAGAGTGGTTGATTTGCGGCAAGATGCGGATATCATCAAGAAGAGCTGATCATGCTCTTCAGAACAGACTAATCTTCTAGAAAAACCTGATTTGTTTCGATTCCTCAGCTTCCAAAGAAGGATTTCTCAAAAGGCAAATAGAAGCATTTTCGGCACCTGTTCCTTTTTCTTTTTAAAAGAGAGCATTTTGTTCAGATTTTCATGCCGATTATGGAAGAAGGCGTTTTCCCGTCAACATGAGACAAAAAACGAATTGGATTGCTTCAAAAACAAAGAGTTTGCAGAATGTCACCTGAACAAGACTTTTTGCAGGATGGGCAGGAAGTTCTGCACTGAGTTTTGCTAGGCAAGAGCAAGACGGTCGTCTATACCGTATGCAACCCGCACGTCTAAACGCATTCCTGCTGCATAGAAAGCCCAATAAATAGGTCCTGTGAGCTTTTTTTGCGCGAAAAAATTGGTCCGCTACGGCAATCGTCGTCACAGCTGTCCTGCAAGACTTGACTGGAAATACATTAGTACTCAATGTACTCCTGAAATCTCGCTCTAGCATACTGTCATCTGCTCTAGTCTATCATATAGATGGCCTTTGCTTTAATTTTGAAGGCGATTTCAGGTGCTGGTTGGACAACTTTTTTGGGACCTGACCCGCTGAGTTTTAAAAAAACGGAACTGAAAATCTGAGGCATAGTGGTAGAAGGTTGCGCACAATACCTGAACATACATTGTTGATTGAATTTTGTAAAAATCTCGCCATTTCGTTGATTTATAAAAACTCTACGAAGCTATGAAACGACCTAATATATTGGCGAAAGCGGCAGGGTGATGAATGTATGTCTATAGGAAGATTTGGCAAACATGAGGCGCAAGAGCTTAACAACACCCTCAAAAGACATAAACACGAAGCGAATAATGGAGCTGATTTCAGAGTCAAGTGCAAAATCTTAAGCCGTGGGAAGGAGATTTCTTCTAGAAATGCACTAGAATGTTGCTGGACATGTTCGGAAAATCCAGAAATGAACGATAAAAACGCGTGCTTGCCTATTACCAGCCGACTTTTTGCCGCTCGTAACATTATGTGAGCTGTAGATAGTAGATAGCATATCCTCTGTCTGCTTTCTACAATATTGCTCCCTTATCCGCTTTTGTCACTAATTTCCGGTCGCTCTTTCAGTTCCTTCCGGTACGGACACATCATATAGCGGTGATATAAAGGTAGGTTTAATTCTGTCTGAAGAGTTTTTGCGATTTGAATTTGCTACAAAATTGAAACTAGCTAAGCTAGTGGAAACATCTGATGATCTGATGTTGGAGGTGATGCGTGATGCTTTGTTGTTTTTGAGCCTCTGAGAACGGCGGAGAGCCTAAACGTTAGGCTCATACGAATAGATATACCGTCATAACAAACCTGTACGTCACAGCAAGATTGAAACGTATTGAAAGTGCTCAGGTTTAAGCAAAATGGAACTTGGAAACTACAAAAGTATTAATTTTTAAGCTGTTCGTCTCTTTCGTCCCCAATCTAATTCCTACCAAATAATCATGCAAGTGCAATCGAAGTATTACGAGTGAGTCTTATTGTTTCAGTGACAAAGGTGAGAAATACATCATTTTCATTTCTGTTGACTTCACTAAACAAAATTGGGAGCAGATCTGAAATGATATCCACGAAAGTCCATAATGGAGGAAAATGGACTTTCAAGCCCCATTTTATTCGTTCGCGGTAAAGAGTGGTCGGAATCTGCTCTCGCTCGCGTTATCCAAAAATTTTCATCCTATCGCAACCACTATGCAAAGCGGTGAAATGGAAATGATTTAACCCTTGAGCTCTCGCTTGCGAAATGATGACGTCAAAAGTCCATTTAGAATGGGGCAAAATGGGATTTACCTCCATTTTACTCCCAGCAGCAAGGTGAGCTGGGACTAAGCCCATTTTTGACCTTTTTGCATATTTTTGATGGCGATTTTTTGAGAATGTGTTCCTCAGCTCGTTCTAAGGTAACAAGTGAGTGGAAAAAGTTTCATGTCTTTTATGAAGTCTGAAATAAGTGTTTTTTCTAAACTCATAGAAACGCTATAAAAACGTAGAAGAAGATTAAATTCACCCAAATATTCGCTAACAAACCCAAATGCTTCTTAACATCAAGTCAATCAGAAAATTCTTATGTAAATCAAATAAAGTTTGTTAACTCTTCAGATCATCAACCAAAACCAAATTTATGATTTGTAATCTAAAATTTGAAAAAAATTGTACTTCAAAGTAATTAGTTAGAAGCTATCTTTGGCTAATTTCGTAGAACCGAACCTCAGAGACGGCATTTTAGAAGCAATTCTAAGTCGGCAAGAATTACTGAAGTGCCGTTAACTAGCTAGAGAAATTCTGTGAAAAATTTCTTACAAGATTAGTCCATACATTCAATTACTAAGAGCTATAAATATTAGTGCTGAAAGACAAAGAACAGCTAATATAGAGCACTTGCGAAGTCATCTTTTGGGATTCAAAGTTTTTGCGACTTGAAAAACCCTTTGAGTTGTAGTGTAGTACAAGGTTTTTTGTAAGGAGCATTTTGGTTCACAGATTGCAGTGCAACTCCAGCAAAGTTTGCTTTTTGCAAAAATCTCCACATACGATTTCGATTTAATGCTGATTCGTAGAAGTTTTGAAGCGAAGGCCCGGATATTACATAAATTTTAGTCTTGGAAGTGACTTAGATGCATAGTCATCGATAATGAATGGCATTCTGTGAGGTGTAACGAAGTGGGAAAGAATAGAATAGCCACTCGAATGACATTGTAATGTTAGGTCAGCCTGGTTATATATCGACCACTTGGTGGAAATGAGTTTGCAAGAGTGAGCAAACAGGTTGAGACAAGTTGGAGAAAGATTAGTTGAAGCATTTTTGTATGGAATGAATGTATTCGCGAATGCGATATCTTACGCACTATTTTATTCGCACGAAAAGCCTATTTCGCGGGGAGTTTCGTGGATATCATTCCTGTAGATGCCGGCTCGCTATCAGCTAGCTCACCCTTCGCATTCGCAATTCTTTTGCTAAGCGAACAATCCTGTCACAACGATTCTCACATTTTACCATTTAGTTTGTGAATATTGGAGAACACATTTCCTTGTGTTGTCTAGGTTTTAATGGATACTGATTTTACTCAATAGAATTTCATGTGTATACTGAAGAATGGTTCATAAAATATATTAGTTTTGAAAGATGCCGTTCATATGGGTACTAAAGATTTCGGATGTGTAGATTTAGAAAACTTTTTGAATATCCTATCCTACCATAATTCTCTGTGAATCCATTGCATGAGACAGCAACCCTGCAGCGAAAATATTTTGAGCTCGGTTGCTTGTAGGCTTTTTTGTTGAACTTGGTGGAAATGAAAATTATTGAAAAACCCAATCTCGCAGACTCTGCAAATATTGATGATAAATGAAACCGCAATGGAGATTTGTTTGGGAGTCATCTTCTATGCCTTAGGATAGAGTGCCTGGAATACGAAACAAATAAAGCGAAATCAAAGAAGTTGGAGTGGTGGAACAACCGGGCTATGATTGAGTTACATCAAAAAAATTTTACAAACGCAAACTTCTTTTTCGTGATTGGGATTTAACCGACATTCTCTAGCATCGGTCTAACTCTGCTTGCGAATCTACGGGGCTCTTGCCATTCCCTCGGAGACCAAACGTTGGTGTGCACATTAACCAACAGTGCTCCATAGGCGCTGCATCTATACTCCATGGTTTAGTCGATTTCAAAAGATGGCACTTTGCTAAAGAAATCCTTTTATGTAAAGATCACCAAAATTTTCAAGAGCCAGCTGTTTGAAATCTAAGTTTACAAATAAACAAGAAGAGTAACGTCGCATGATTTTTCTACAAACATTGCAGTTTTCATCTCTATAAAAATGATACCTGTTTCTTTGCTTTAAAAAATCACTTGCGAAATCCCACCGTCTGCTAGCGACACTCTGTCTTCGCTCTTGATTGGCTGAATTCCCTGTGATTGGCTGCTTTGCATAGCGGAACGCTTGTGATTTTCCATGGCAAAATGCTTTTTAAGGAAACAACAACCTTATCTATGAATGTTGAGTTTATCATTCAAGCCCTACTGCTCTGTTCTGCTTTATTTTTATTTCAAGACTGTAATATATCCTTTTCAGTATTCATTAGATATCAGATGTGATTGAATGCATTAATCTTAACAAATTAAACTTCATTATGTATATTTGTATCATCTCAATAATTTCCGTAACCATATATTCCAAGAACAAGAATTATTTGAATTATAATCATAAAGTAAGGCGTAAGAGAGAGGCGCTAAGAATGCTGTAGTACAAATTCAATAATGCTTTTCTAGTAAGAAGGGATGCAAAGACACAAAAGCTTACACGTATACAATTTAATGGTTATTAGATGTCACACAATGCTGCTTAGATTGGATTCCCGTCTGGACTCATTCGGGTGGGTAAACCTGAAAGAAGTAATTTGAGCAAAGAAAATAAATTTTCAAATTTTCGAAAGCTTTAATGAGAAATGAATGATTCATATGTTTGTAGCTGGTTTGTCACTTCGATTATGCAGAACCAGCGAGTGCAGAAAAAGAGGAAATGTTGAGTTAGAATCTAGCTTACTTATCCAAAATCTATTCGCGTATTAAGGTTGGGTTCAAAAAAATTTATGGTTGCTAAGATTTTGTTTCTGTGCGGTAGTGAACTTCCAATTCCCAACTCCCAAAGTAACTTCAAAAGCGAAGATTTTCCTCTAGAAGTTAGCGGTCACCTCCTTCATCAGTAATGATGATATGATATGATGAATCATGAATCAGACTCCAAAGTGCCTATAGACGCCCAAAATTCCCTTTTTGTAAAAAGAAACAGATTCTTCACATATCCAAATTCTTTGCAGCCTTATTGGGCTTACTACTTCAGACTACCTATATTGACGGGCAAAAAAAATTTGCCTCATTTATCCAATTGGTTAGTAGACCCGTTTTTGACGCGCCAAAATCTCACCAACTTCAGCCTGGGTAGACGATGCCCTGTGTAATCATATGGAATTTTGCTAATGCTGCTATTATGAAGGTCGAACCCGAAGCTCTGATTACGCAAAACAAGAAATTTTGCATCTCCAAGCTTCTGACTCAAGATATCAATCCAAGTTCCTTTCCAGCAGAAGGAAGAGCACTTCAATAAGTTGACGACAACACGCATTTCAACTTGTTCGATTCACCGTGACAACGAAAAGTTGATGAGACATGGAACTCATCCCCACTCTAAAGCAAAAGAAAAATTCCCGAGTCGCTCCCCATAATATAAACCAATTCAACGGAATTCAAGCCATGACCTACAATGCGGGTTACATTGTCCCACTGGCAGCCATTGTGTGACCCACTATGTGGGTCACATGTCGATAATGTACGATTTTAATGACTGAAATATGCATTGGATACCAATTTCTGAACTCCGCGGGTCGAATATTGCCGAAACATTAGCTATTGAAGAAAACATAGTAGTATTTATAGAGTATTTAAAGTATTAAGAACAGAAGAACAACATAGAGTGTCTATAAATCGCTCAGACACGCAATTACCATAAGTTTTCAATTATTCAAGTGCATCCGCTGTGTTTTGGTGAAGAACCAAAATCGTTTTTCTTATGCTCCTGAGCAAAAAAAACTTATAAGTGATTTGTAGTTAGGTGAGTTTGTTGCATACTACATGCTGCGTATTATATTTTCGTTTTTTAAGTCACAAAATGTAATTTTTGAGCGATAAAAGGAACTCACGAAATATAATTTCAAAAATGCCGACTCGATAGCCTGGTAAATAGTGCTGGTACTGCTTTTGCAATTTTGCCGGGTTCACAGAAGTTGGCTCCTCTACTAGAGAAAAACACTAGCATTTTTAGATTTATGTTGTGTCAAACTTACATTTGTTTAATATAAATCACCGCACAGTTTATAATCTAGCTGAGCGCCTCATTTCTCAATTTTATCGCACACTTTCGCCTAGCGCAGAACGATGATGGTAAGCAAGCGTGCCACGAATCATGTCACTCAAAAGGCGTCATTTCCATACTTTGAAAGAATGGTAATTTTCAAAAACACTTATTCATTAAAATGACTGTTTTAAGGTCGTACTTTTCTCAGCCGCACTGTACATTGGATTTCAGTTATACATTGGATTACTGGACTGCGCTATTCTCATCGTTCGCCGCGCTTAGCCAAAGATCCTAATATGCCACTTTCCGCACTACCCTGTCTTTAACAACTGCAAATCCGCCATCTTTGCACAAAAGTCACTTTTGTCACATTTGTCAACGAATCTGCTTGAAATAACCACCGACGTACGCAGATGATTGTCTCAAAAAGTTTAGACACTGGAGGGCTGGCTCGCTGCAGTCTAGGTAGCTTGGGCTGTGCCCAATTTTGACAAGCAGTGGTGTAGCCTGAAGAAATCTTTGATCCGGCTATCTGTAATAAGATTGTGTGTGATAACTAGATTAGGGGTATGGCTAAATTATCTTTTTTAGAGGGAAAACAAGGATAAAAAAATGTAATAATTGCATGAGGTGATAGAGCTCTTCAAGATCTACAATCTTCACTTTGAGCTTTTTGAGAAACACATGTTCTAAAAATTTTAAGAATTCTTTTCTAGAAAAAGTCCGAGAATGGCCGCGTCACAATGTCGCAGACAATAATTCTTCGAACGCAAAGATTTTCCTTTGAGTCCTATCTTGAAGCGGAAACACAGGTTATCCGGACGGGTAAGCATACTAATATACAGAGCTCGTCAAGAACTACACGTTGGTTGATTGCTTCCCCAAAAAGCGCAAGCCTTGAGTTTTATTTTGCTTTTTTCAAAAAATAACTTCTAATTTCCTTTATCAAGCCAAATTTTTTCACACGGAAACCTGTTCAAGACATCCCAGCAAAGCCGTCTGGATAAAATAGATGCTCTTTGCCATCCTCGATGCATCGGATATGTGCTTATGAGTTTCTTTGCTGAAAATGGCCCCTTGGCAGTGCTTGCACATGACCCTACCTGCACCTCACCACTGACTTGTACCGCTTTGCAGGCTTGTAACTCGGCCTGCAGTCAATATTTGAGCCTGCAGTTAGGCTCATTCGAAAGAACGAGACATCCTGTATACGACGATATGCAAATGAGTTGAGTTTGAGAAATTTCAGAGATTTGGCGGATGGGGTGGTAGAGGCCAGCTTCAGTTATAGTCTAAGCACTTTTCAACTAAAGTTGAAGAAAGCTCCTTTCGCTACCAATTTCATCCTGGAAGTTCAAAACTGTCAATTTTCTTGTAATAGGTCCATTTCGAGGCTCTAAGACTGTTCTGGTGTTCATAAGAGCTTGCACCCCAATCACCTCTGAAGCTGCCCTCTACCACCCCATCCGCCAAATCTCTGAAATTTCTCAAACTCAACTCATTTGCATATAAGTCTCGTTCTTTCGAATGAGCCTAATTGCAGGCTCAAATATTGACTGCAGGCCGAGTTACAAGCCTGCAAATCGGTACAAGTCAATGGTGAGGTGCAGGTGGGGTCAAGTGCAAACACTGCCAAGGGCCATTTTCAGCAAAGAAACTCATCAGCACATATCCGATGCATCGAGGATGGCAAAGAGCATCTATTTTATCCAGACGGCTTTGCTGGGATGTCTTGAACAGGTTTCCGTGTGAAAAAATTTGGCTTGATAAAGGAAATTAGAAGTTATTTTTTGAAAAAAGCAAAATAAAACTTTGCGTTTTTTGGGGAAGCAATCATAACCAATGTGTAGTTCTTGACGAGCTCTGTATATTAGTATGCTACACAGGTTGCCCGTCCGGATAACCTGTGTTTCCGCTTCAAGATAGGACTCAAAGGAAAATCCTTGCGTTCGAAAAATTATTGTCCGCGACATTGTGACGCGGCCATTCTCGGACTTTTTCTAGAAAAGGATTCTTAAAATTTTTAGAACACGTGTTTCTCAAAAAGCTCAAAGTAAAGATTGTAGATCTTGAAGAGCTCTATCACCTCATGCAATTATTACATTTTTTCATCCTTGTTTTCCCTCTGAAGAAGAGCGATGAAAAAGGGAGGGAGGCTTGTCCGCAACTTATTGGCGGTCACTGTATATAGCGACCGTAAAGCACGAGCTTTCGCTGCAGCACTGACGCTTCTATCTTAGACATGAAAATGATTGCCAAGGTAGGTGGGAGACGTTGCCCCATTGCCAAGCCTCTAATTCATTTCTGATGAAATGAGCAGGGCAGTGCGGCTAGGCGTACATCAGGCGTGTTTGCACGGCGTGGTGAAAGTGGTCGATATTCCTCCCGCTGATTTCAAACGCCAGTTGGTTCGTAATCGAGCTTATGACCGCATATGTACTACTCCAAACTGCATGGTTTGCCCGTATGGTAGATGTGGGGACTGTATGCTAGCCGGGGTTATCCACCTCATTACATGCTTATCATGCGGCGACACTTACGTTGGTGTAATAGGACGTCCGCTTTGCTGTCGCGTTAAGGAGCATTTAGATGGTTTAAATAAACTCAAAGCAGCTACGCCACTAGGGGAACATCGCATAACGCGCCATGGTGGGGCTCCTATGACAAGTTACTGTGAAGATCTTCTCGTTAGAACCCGAGGTCCTCACGCGAAAAAACATTAGAAGCGTTTTGGATTAGCGCCAAAAATCCAAAAATGAACCAGAAGGAGGAGTGTACCGCCATAAAGAGAGAACTCGCGCCTTATCAGTTCCTATGCGGATTCGAATAAGAGGCCGGATCAGCAAGGCACGTATAAAAGAGCTGAGATTGAGTCTTGTGTATAATGGTGGTCCTTGGACTCCGTCTTGTGCTATCTAAGGTGAGTACTGTGCTTGTGAATATGGTTCTGTCTAGCACTGGCTTTGTTCTTGAATGATACTTTATCTATTGCTAACGTCTGGGCGAGTAAGTTCATATACTTTCGGCTTGCAGGCTCTGAAGAAGGCGAAAGTGCCATGACGTTAGCGAATAAAGAAGTGTTATCAACCTTGGAAGTTCGCTCAGCCAATTCCATTACGAGTATCCACTGTTTGAAAAGTTTAATAAACTGAAATCAAATGTACGACATTAGATTAGCTGCATGATCTCAGTAGACAATTGTGAGGCACTTGAATGAGTTTTGCGTAAACGTTAACGATCACTGAGTCTCACTTTACCATAAGACAGGCACACTTTCGCAGCACAATCTCTTTCAGTATTTGCAACAGTCTGTAATGTGCCCCGACTTTGCTTGTACAGAGATAAACTTGTGCGAATAGCTAGGAGGGTGATGCTAGCTAATTATTCATCCTGTCTAGCTGAGAAAATCCGTGCCATGTCCTTACAAATAGTTTGCTATTCGAAGGCAATGCTGTAGAAAATAACTGAGATCTCACTGCTAAGCTCAATAATAGAAAAACTAGTCTAACGCCTTTATACATGAGAGTCCTTGCGCGAAAACGAAATCCCTCCTGGCAGCGAGCGAACGCCGCTGCGACTTAATCATCACTGGGGATGCTGCTTCTCTTGCTGCAGCGTTTGCATGCGAGCCCAAGAATGAGCTTTGTTGATACGAGGTGCTGCGCTGAAATCGTCATCGCTTGCTTCCCTTCAAAAGGAGAGGACAGATGGGGGCAGAGGGAGAAAGAAAGAATGAGCGAGATCAGAGTAGGGAGTTTGCATCTACATAGTCTTGGGTCACATCCCTTGATCCGTTATAGCTAAAAATGTCGCAGACTTCACTTGCATTTGATGTAGCTCAGAAATTCCGAGCCGCCCTCATTACTTATTATGTAAACACTAAAAGTGAATCAGGAGATGGAAAAGTGTATTGTTAGTGGGGCTAATTTCCTTTAAAAACAAATTCAGATTAAACCACTTGTGGCTTTCGGTGGCAAATGAGGCTGGCTGTAAAGTGCTTTACAAGTCACTTGAAGCGTTGCAGGTGGTCCGAAAAGTAAACGTTAAAAGATTGATTTTCTAGCTTTTTAAGACGTTTTATAACCAAGAATCCTCCATACTGCTCCCCTTTCAATGAATTGATTACAACTGGAGTGGGTAACAAAAAAATTATGTATTTCATACAAATTCGTCGTTATCCTTTTCATTCTCTGGCACAAATTGTCATCTATCGTTGAGTTTCTACTTTGCTACTGTTGAGATTATTACGCATCTAAAAAGATACAAACTGGAGAGTGTGAGTATGTCAAAATTTAGCCACACTTAGCTGTCAGGTCATCATGATCTCATGAATTTTGATGAACTATGACCAAAATCGAAATGTGAAGCAAAACTGATGTTTTAGGCGATTGACTATAGGTCTAAAAAGCGCTACTTTCGCTTACCATATTTGATTCTATATGATTCCAATTCTTGTTCCCGTTGTTTGGTGCGAAGTGAGTGCCGGTTCTGCATCTCGGCTCGTCTCAGCTCCTGCTGCTAAAAGAATTGAAGTTTGCTACATATTAGGTCATTCCGAAAGTAATTTCGCTTTTTTCAAAAGGGCGCCACATTTGATGGAACAAAAATTTCTAAGAGATCTTGGTAGCATTCGATACAGTATTTCACCCTCTTTCTAAAGATTATGAAACTGTTGCAAAACAATCAGTAAGCTTTCAGAAAATAACCAAAATGTACGACCTATGCTTCTGGAGGTGGTCAAGTTTCACGACTTTTTAAAACTTTCGTAATCCTCAGAAGGAACTCAAGTGACGATTCGATAGAGCAAACCTCGAATAGAGCTCACCTTTTTCCTCTTTTTCATAGCTTGCTGTGATTTTTTAGAAGATTTTTTAACAGAACCATCGGATTTTGGCAGGCCCACCTCAGTCACAATCGCATCAAACATCATGATTATTCGGAATTTGAAACTACCAACATGGCATTATGAGACAGCATTAAATCTACAAAGCAAGCGAGGGTTTTGCGGGTTCGAAATATGAAATTTCAAGTTTTTCGGGTACAGTCTGGAGCTCGGTAAAAAATGAGTTACGATGATATCGTCCCCGAAAACAAAAAGAATCGGAAACAAAAAACAACCCTTAGAAAGAGGAGAAAATGCTGCGTCGGGTAGTGCCCGAGCTGCTCTTCTTTTGATGTTCTACGAGGATTGAGCTGCCAAGTATGGAAATCGGTAGCATCAGTTAGAATTCTGTTAGAAATGTATGACAAGCTATGGAAAGAAGAGAAAAAAGTACTGTATTCTATAAGGTTTACTCTATCCACTCGTTACTTGAACTTCTTCTGAGGATTGATATTTTCTCTCCTTTCCATAGCTTGTCATACATTTCTAACAGAATTTTAACTGATGCTACCGATTTCCATACTTGGCAGCTCAATCCTCGTAGAACATCAAAAGAAGAGCAGCTCGGGCACTACCCGACGCAGCATTTTCTCCTCTTTCTAAGGGTTGTTTTTTGTTTCCGATTCGTTTTGTTTTCGGGGACGATATCATCGTAACTCATTTTTTTAGCGAGCTCCAGACTGTACCCGAAAAACTTGAAATTTTATATTTCGAACCCGTAAACCCTCGCTTGCTTTGTAGATTTGATGCTGTCTCATAATGCCATGTTGGTAGTTTCAAATTCCGAATAATCATGATGTTTGATGCGATTGTGGCTGAGGTGGGCCTGCCAAAATCCGATGGTTCTGTTAAAAAATCTTCTAAAAAATCACAGCAAGCTATGAAAAAGAAAAAAAAGGTGAGCTCTATTCGAGGTTTGCTCTATCGAATCGTCACTTGAGTTCCTTCTGAGGATTAATACGAAAGTTTTAAAAAGTCGTGAAACTTGACCATCTCAAAAAGCATGGGTCACAGATTTCTGTTATTTTCTGAAAAATCATTGACTATATTGCAACAATTTCAGAGCCATTAGAAAGAGAATGAAATTCTGCATCGAATGCCTGTAAGATCTCTTAGAAATCTCCGTTCCATCAAATGTGACGCTCGTTTGAAAAAAGCGAAATTACTTTCGAGATGACCTAATAGATGAATCATCTATTCCGTGCCCTCTGATGCTTTGGCGTTTGATAACGCTAATAAGAACGCTATAACTCTATCACACATGGCCGGAACAGTGGAACATCCAACAAAAAGTTTCTTCAACTCTTCTGTTCTTGGAGAAAATGTTGGGACGCTGTTACAAGCAAGTGCAATAGTTTGATCAAGTTAAATAGATCTCTTCCACTGCTTAAAAACATAAGCTTATGCCCCAAATTTTGCAAAGATTGCTGAAAGAAGATCTAGTGCCTTGACAGAGTTGCAATATGCAAAATATCTCCCACCGACTTACGAAATTGGTGGAAAATGCAAAAGTTAAAGGGTCTGGAAGGTAGATACTTGGGCTAAACCTTCTTAGTTTCTCGGACTTAACTATAATGGACGTATAAGCTAAACTGCGCGCCGTATGACTATGAATATGTCACGGCTCACTAAGCCACAGTAAGCTTTCCAAGTTGGAAAACCCTTTACAAGAGTTATTTGCGTCGCAGCTGAAACAGCGGACGATTCCAATGGATGTAGGCAATGGATAGAAAAGAAATATAATAGTTATGCCTACTCGCCGCCGAACATCCCACTTATCTCAAGGATTAGTAAAAGCAATGATCGATGTTGACACTGCTATGTGATAGTAAACAAAAGTCTCCTTCTATTTCGGCAGGAAAAGAGGATAAGGATGATTGTTATCGCAATAGCTTATAATATGTTATAAATAAACGAAGGTCACAAAATTACAAGATTTCGCTTACAAAATTGAATTTTTCTGCTTGTTTCTTCGCTTGTGCTTGTCGATATGCACGGCATCGGCAGCAGCAATAGCATAGACAGGAGGTGAAGATTACCAGCAGAATTCCAGCAATCACACTAATTACGATCACCACCGCTGAGATGTTTACTGTAAATGATCATTATAAATCTAAGTATCCTATTCATTAGGTTGTTCGGATAATAATGCCATTTTGCAGGTAAATTTCCAAATCAACCGTTTTCTTCTGTTACTGCCCTTCTTGCAACCAACTTTGCATATCTAAAAGCGCTAATCATACTTTCTCTAAAAAGTTTTGCTTTGCCTTATCTTTATCTTTTGAGAATTTTCAAGCATACATAGAAGAGTTTCGAATTCAAAAAAATTTCTTTTACACTGTTTTGAAGCCATCTCATTCGCAAAAAAAAAATTTTTCATCATAACACGCTCATGTAAGTTGCTGAGAGGAAAACAAAATACACATTGAGGCTTTCTTCTGACTGTCATGGGTGCAGTGACATCGAGCTCCAAACATGACTAATCGTCGGGGTCATTCAATGTACTATAAAACCTTTGTGAATGAAGCAATCGTAAAGATATCTTGCTATGCACTGAGATCAAGATTAGAGCTATTAGTAGCTACTTGATTTGGAAATTCAAATTTTTGCTACCGATGGAAAACTAAAAAATCCAGATTTTTTAAAGCTACGGTTCCTCAAAACAAGTTTGGAAAATGGACGATTTTGGTCCCGCAATTTTCTTTCTCTTTCAGGAATGTTCCTGAAAAGTCTTTTTGTAGATAGCCGGTAGTAGAGACTTATGGCTACAAGGGCTGGGACTTTTTCGGCCAGACACTTCTTTCTAGAGAGAGTTACACTTTACCAAAGAGGGCGTTGCTTCGATATTTTTTTGTTTTTCGGTTCACACTTGATCTCCTTGAAGCTAACAAAGCAAGCAACCAAGTAATAGATAGATGAATTCATTATGTTGTTTCAACGCATTTCTAAATATGATTATGCAACAAATTACGACACCCTAATCTGCAAATGCAAAACGGGCATTAATTTCCGGACAACCCAAATATAAATACATGGACCTGAAACTTGTATTAGACTAGAGCTGATATGCACAGAGTGACAGAATGAATAACCTCGAGTCATTTGTAGCTTAATATGTGAGACTGCACACTAAGCCCTATCAGCGACGGCACCCTTACTGTTAACTTTCCATTAAAACATTTTTTTGCCTAACAAATTGTAAAAATGTGTTCTTTTGACTAACGTGTAATTAACAAAAACAAAGGAGACAAGCAAACGAGCAGAAATCACTGGAATTGAGCAGGTTCTAGTTTCGCTGTTCGTCAGTTAGCGTGCTTAGTGTGCATTATGCATATTAAGTTATGAATGACTCGACGATAGGTGTACGAATAATTCGATGGATGTATAATATGTATGATCAAATGAATGAATGAATGGACGAATGAGTGAATAAATACGTAAATAAATGAATAAATAAATAAATGGAATGAGTGATGAGTAAATGAATATATAAATTAATGCATAAGTGGACAAATTATGTAAACGTATAGTGACATGTGTTGATAAGAGAAAGGCTAACGATTGTTTAATGGTGTGGGTTATTCAAGGGAGGAACAATGTTTAACTCTTTGAATTGATTAATGAGAAATTTGTGTTAGAATAGATGAATGGATGAATTAATGAATAAATGTCTCGATGATGACTGAGGATAAAGGTTTGCGTACTCATGCTGATTCTTGATTGTGAGTATTGATAGCATGAGTAAGTGTTTTGGATAAAACTCACCCCAGCACTTATTATGCCTAACGTCACTCAGTTCACATCCGGGAAAATACCAAGCATAGGGCAAACATCGATCTACAGTTCCACCACAATAAAAACATTCCTAAACAGAATCATACTCTTCTCCTTTTAAAAGTAACAGATTCTACCCATGTTTCACTTACAGATCCTTTGGCTACACAGGTCTCGCAATCTGGTTTTTCATCAGCTTTGTATTCACAGTATTTTCTTTGGCTTTCATTAAAATGTCCGAGTCCAACAAGTTCGGTAAGTGACTGAGCAGTGGTGATAGCTATCAGTGCACTCATCACTGCTATAGCCGACAATCGCAGCAACATTTCTGCCGACGGCTATGTTTAACGCGCCTATCTGCCGATTTTGCCTGAAAAATTGATTATTAGAGTCTGTGCAGTGTAGTCGATGCAGCTTTCGCGAAGTCCTTGTTGCGAGGTATAAAGTAAGTGGTTAATACAAAGAAAACCTTGAGAGGACGCCTCATAAGAGGTTGAGATCAGGCTGATAACACACCAGCAGTGTAAAAGAAGAAGATCTAGCAACAGAGATTAGGAGATTATAATGGACTCTGCGAAAAAAACACCCATGTACAGATTTCAAATCGACCTCTGCTTTTCATATTTTGTTCATACCTATCTTTACTCATTCATAAGTTAACAGTGCGTCGCCTCTGCTTTTCGCAGAGGCTCGCACTGGTTATTAGTTTTCTATCTAAATTTCCTTGTACCCGCGTGATGATTGCTTTGAAACTCACTTCGCTGAGCTGGCCATCACGAATGAATTGTAAACAACTACTCATTCCAAAATTTTTTACATGCTATATCAGTGCGTTTGGATAAAGAAAACTTCTGTGCCGAAGAATATATGCGAACTTGAATTGGCTACCAAACATAGATCATGGATTGTATTTGCCATAGTGGCAGTGACCACCATAAGCTACATCCTGAGCAAAAATCTTTTTGAATCCTTAGGGAAACCCTTTACAGATGGACTATCTACGCAATCTCTTTTTTGGCTCCGCTCTCGCAAAAAAACATGTTTTTGATAAATTTTTATTCTAAAGCTATTCTCTTGAAGATACACATCCCAAGCAAATCTACAACCTTGAAAAAATTCTGGATACAGTCGATTATGTAGGCTAAAGGCCGCAAGGATCCATTTGGCGCATACTTCTTGAAGGTTCCGCTAATCCAATCGGCTTGCGCCTTTGCACATTGGACATACATGCTGCTAAGATGCTAACACACATCATACACACACATACCCAAGTCACATGAGCACCCTTAGCCTGTTATTATAAGTTATGATAATTTCCACCGTATGTTACGACCCGCCAATCAGAATTCGACAGGTTCGTCGCACTCTTGTACAAGATTTATTTCGTCATTTGTGGACTTTTCGGATATACCGTTGGATAAAACTAACGGAACACCAGTACTCGAGCAAAAACTAGTTGTCGAAATTTGGGAGCTGGACACAAAAAATGCTATCATCTTTTCGCAATGAAACTCATCCGATCAATTATGATTTGATTGAACGAATTTCATCCCACTCAAGCAAAACAGAAATTCCTATTCTTTGTGGCGGCTATGCTGCCTGCGCAAGTTGAAAAACGCTCACTTTTATATCGCCTAGCTTTCAGTTTCGGAGATACTCGTTCAGAGTGCGTTAGGCCTAAGGCATACCTCGCGCGATTCCTGTCGCTGCGCGATTTGGCACAGCAGCGACTCTCTGTAATTCGTCGTTAATGCGTTTCCTTTGATCCAGAACTTAACCCATTTGCAACAACTTACAGAATTTACCCGCCTATGCGTTCGAGAAGCGCGCACGATAAATTTGTAGAAATCTGGCAAATCGCCAAGTCGCGTGAAGGTGGCGATTTGGCCAAATCGCGTGAGGTATGCCTTAAGCCTTACAAGGGAAGCGAAGCTTTGAATAATTTAACGGTGGCTTATCTGTCTCAGTCACCTTAATTCACGGCTCACATTACTCGAAGGCAGTGGCTGACAAAACAGAACATCTTGGAATTTTGGTATCATACGTTACTTACATCTTAAACATAAAACAAGGTAAGATGAAAATATAGTGCAGCTGTGTTGCTCAAATTGCTTGAGAAAAATGGGTTTCTATAGCCGTTTGCTACGCTCTGGCCCTGTTTCTAGTGCATGATTAAGGGGAAGAGGCAGTAAGCTTATTTCCACAAGTAGTCTCTTGCCTTTGCCTCATATTCATTATGCGGTAGGTTTGGAAAATTACTAAGCTGGTTGATTTCAAACGGTCGAAACACGGAACACGACAAAACATTGACAAATAGTTGTGAGAAATCATTCTTACGATTAGAGCAATAACATGGATTAAGTCTAACAATGTCGTTAATTTCGATAACTATTACTATATGTGAGTGTGTTACGAAACTTTCGCGTAGATACAGCTGAATGACTTTCAAACATTGAAAGCTCATACGGTTTTAGATAATGCTTGCGCAGTCGGCAATGATGGGCGCACCTTCATGAATCCAATGTCAGTATGAGCTGTAACAGGGATGGATGCGGCTACTATAAGGGCGAGTAATGTTTTAGTGAGGCAAAACATGCAATACGCGATATATTTGTTGATGTTAGATGGAAAGGTGATTTTTATGCTGGTAGTGAACGGAACTATTTTAGTCAACAAGTACATCGCTCGATTGTATATGCGCAATGAAATGGAACGCATAGGGGCTGAATTTAAGTTATCTGCAAGCAGTACGGTAACTTATGTCAAAATTAAATGACGCACTTTGACTCCGGCTTGAGAGAATGGCATTGTATTTTCAAAATTTTACCTTGTAAGGAAAGACAGGAATTGTGTGAAGTCTTTGGAAAGTTATTTGTTTTTTCCATTGATGCGTAATCTACATAATTGTTGAAAGGGTGATAGAGGCATACAGTTACAGGCTACATACAGTTTTTCAGAGGAACTCTTTATCTGCTTTCAAGAAAGTTTGCAGGAATTTAGATTGCCATTGAAAATCGCTACTTGCAGATGGTCGCAATCTTTAAGTTTAAACTTGAACGGGAAGAAAAAGCATTCATGCATTTGTGAAAACTATATTTTTTCTTAGAATGGCTCAAAATCGATTCAAATAACTACCTATAAGAACTAACAAGGGAAGGATACCAACATTAGTCGGCGATTGAAGATGAGATGTATATCAGTAGACGCGCCTTTAAAAGCTGATTTCAAATCTGCTTTCCTGCGAAATAACTTTCCGAAAGAAGTTGTGGGCGTTTAAATGTCCAAATTTGTCAAGGTTTAGGTGGCCTAAAATTGGCTAAAAGCTGTACAAAAGCACTGGAAAGTGGAATATCATTTCTATATCGAGTATTTTGTTTGCAAGGAAGGAAGGTGAAAATTGCATAGACGATGTTTTAGAGCTTTTCTTTGATTTTAAACTACTCAGTGCTTGGCAAATCTGGACCTTCAAACGCTCATACCTTTTTCCGGAAACTTATTCCGCAAAAAAAGGTAAGCAGATTCGGAATCAGGGTTCAATTCATCTAATGGTACACATCTCACCTTCAATTGCCAACTAATATTGGTATCCTTCCCTTGTAAGAGGTAGAGTTCTGCTGTCGTGACCCTCTTGCCATAATGGTGAGCAGAAAAGAGGGGTTAGAGCAGATTTTCATTGTAGCCGCAAAGCTAAAATCAAACCCCTGGAATCTCACACGACGATTGAGTCGTTTTGCGAAAAAATGCAAAAAAAAAATTTCAGCAACATAGCCTTCAAACTGTCAGTTCGCAGATGAGAGGGCGTTAGCATTATTTCCATTATTTTCGCTGCTCGTAGTACAATAGCACTCTCCTTTTTAGACCGAATAGCTACTCTTACTAGGGCAGATCCCGAATCGCAATGGCGATCTAGAACGAAATGCATATTAGTGGACGCGTCTTTTCGAGCTGGATCCAAATCCAACTTCCGTTTCTGCTGCGAAGTTCTCTAGAACTAGTAAGTTATGAAAGCTTATATGTAAATATGGCAAACGTTCAAGAGTATCTTTCCGAGAACTAATGGTTCATAAGCGCCTAATGTTTGCTCAAATGCATTACTTGCAGTTAACACACTCAACACCTTGCCACTTATGCACCCTCAAGCTGATTTGTTCGCACATCGTGCACCAAAGTTTCAATGATTTCACACTTTTCGCTCATAACTTCTTCCAAAGAATCCCGCAGCAAATATGAAAAGTAGATTGGAAGTGATCTGAAGTTAGCTCATCAGGACGCATCTAACTGTATGCATTTCATTTCAATTCTTCACTAGGAATGATATTTTCCTTGTTAGCAAATCACGATTGTGTACAACGATAAGAAGCGGCCACCGTGATTTTTTCAAACCGCACATGGAACATGGGCAGTTCTGCAAAGGGAATAATGAGAGATGTCAGTACTGCGCGATATAGCTTTGTGAGACCTGTTCGCTAGTCAAAACAGGTTTAACAAAAGGTATAAGAATTGTTAATAAGAGATGCCATCATCGCTCAACTTGAAGCACAACCACATGTAGGTGGCTCTCAAATAAGCTGGTAGGGCACACCAAAAATAACAGCTATTTCTCAAACGTTCCATACATCCCTGCCCTAGCCCCTTGATTTTGAAATCAATAGGATCTGACAAATGATAGCAGGAACGCCTATTGTGGTTTTTCTGCAATTAGATTTGAATGAAGTAGCAACACAGTAAGATTGTTGCCAAAGATACGCTGAACACAGTAAAGCTTGTTTCTTGAAAAAAAGGAAAGAGTCTAAGAAAAGTTGCATTTGATTGAAAGCGTTCAAAATGTTTGAAATAGCGTAAAAGGTTTGTGACATCTGCCGAACATTTATTCTTTTTGGAGTGCAGCACCAAAAGGGGAGCGACGGAAAGAAAAGCATACACTGAATTGTCCACGTTCGGTTGCTTCTTAACCTCGGCGCTGTGGATACTTGTAGATGGCTTGATTCAGCGTAATTTCAAGTTAAAAAACGTTTCTCTTCCTGGCTAAAGTTCTGGAGCTATCGCATTCTTCATGACCTAAAAGCCAAAATCATATAAACTTGAGAATTAGGTTTTGATTTCGAAGCCCAGGCTCTGCAGAAGGCGGTAGCGCCGGAATGTTAGCCAATAAAAACTACGATGAAAAGTTTTGTGAGCTCATGGTCATTTCGCAGTAATTCTTACCGACTAAAAAAGTCAAATAAGACACTTTGCAAGAGGCTCAAAGGCTCCTTAATCTTTTTTTCCACTCTAGGATGGAGACACCCTGTAGCTTAAGGCTGCCGCATGACGAAGGCGCAATATATTTGAGCGCGAACGCGCTTTCATTAGCCGCAGAGCGCATGAGGTGCACGAT